GATTGATTCCAAATTTTTGAACGGAAAAATATATTTGAACACACTGACGGTATATGGGCAATTATTTCGTTAAAAAAATATTCCGTTAGAATGTTCTGACTCAGTTAAACGCATGCATTTGAATTAGCCAATCAGATTTCGCGCACTGTACGGCCGCCATTTGTTTATCGGCTGTAAAAGGAATTTAAATACATGAGAGGATTTAATCATGATTTTTCGGATGTGACAGTTTAATTATTTTGACAAAAGGTATTTATTTTTTAGTTTTGTTCATAAATATGTCAAAACTAATGTAAATACACGTTGTCTTAATTGTTTTTCGTTCCGCGGGACATGCTATGGGTTTTTGAGCAATATCGATATGACGTTGCTTTGCCCAGTAGCAAAAATATCTCAAAGCGACGTCATATTTATAGGACTATAATGAGAGAAGAAAGATTATTGCTTGATTTCATTACACATTATAATAATGCCTATTAGTAATAAAATAGAGAAAAAACGAATCCTTAACAGAAGTCCAACACGGAAAACATGAAAATGTTGCAGGCTCAGTTTGACTAAACCTGTTCATGGACGGTAGTAGTAACTGCAAGCTACCGTTCACGCCTCCTAGCACCGGCTTCAGCAGAATTCACATTAAACATGAACTGGTACACTTCAGATTTTTTAACATCTGTGGATGTGTTCATATGGCGGTTATCATGGAACCTTCAATGCGACACGTTATTGCCATTCTATGAAAAGCGGCATATTACCCCCCAGGTTAAAAATTGCGTGTGTCATAAACGAGAATACAATGAGTGAAACTAAACAAAATGAAATTTTGAGAGGGGATCGGCGGTTATGAAGCCTGCATACCATAGATTAGCTGTCAAAAGACACAATTGACAATCAGGCAATACCCTAAGAATGATTAAAAACAGTATTTAGGTGAGCGATACTGCAACCTTAAATTCTATTTTAAGTTGGAATTTACATCTACCATAATGTATTTTGTAAGTACATGTATTTAAAAGGGTTTATGAACATTTTCAATTTTGTTGTGTTGGAATTTCTTTAGGGATTCTGTTTAACTCTATTTTGTTACGTTTGGCTTTCTTGGATTTAAAGTTTCAACGACACTGAGGTCATGTGAAAACATTCCTGCTTTAGTGTAAAGAAAGACCCCGGATACCCTTTGTGAAACATTTCAGACATTTTAGCCTGACTAGAACCACCGACCTTCCGTAAATTAGCTTGATAGATTCCTCACATACAAAGAATCCAAAGTCATTATTGGATTTCAACTACAGCAGTAAATGAAAGACGGCCTTATCCCGACTCTGCCACTATTATGTACCTCCATCACTAGAGAAGATATTGTAATTGTCTGACCTTAATTATACTCTATAACTTTCAATATTATTTTCTTTTTCAGAAACATGAAAACTGCTATACAGGATGTCTGAAATAAAATAAAAACGACTTTTAATTTAATAATGACAAAATAATCGTAACTTCAACAAAGAAGCATTCGAAATGACGCCATGATCATGATTTGATTTGAATGCTTTTGGTTCGAGATGAGAAGGGTCTTTAAACATTGCCTTTTTTTATTCAAAATCTATAATTTGGGTTTTCGTATCCCCGATTGCAACCGAAACCATTTGAACAACTTAATTGGTAGAAAGTCATGTAAATTTCATCACATTTAGTCAAGTAGTTATACTGAGCGGATGAGATTACACACACATGCGTACGACAGACGGACGAATAGCCATCGTGCCAATAAGCTCACAGAGATTTGAAAGTCTAAGTAACATTCATACATTTTACCTAGAATAATTATATAGAAAATATTGAAGTCTAAACTGTAACCGAAATCTGGGTATAAACTGTAACGAAATCGGATACAAATCGCTAGGTCTATGCTGTAACCCTGCACAAATTACCTCGCTCTATACTGTAACATTGTTTATTTTTTTAAACGCATTTTACCAACAGAAAAATAGGTTCAACTGGTCATTTACTTTTATAAACGTTTCCTAACATAAAGGACTAACGTTTTGCAGATTTACTTTTTCTAGGCATGCATAAATAATGTCGAAATTGCAGAAAAATGCGTGGGTCTCTCGATTCAAATTTTCAAACTGTCAAATCTGCAAATTTATGAGACAATATAGCGATAAATCTGCGGTGCAGGGTCTGAAAAAATATATGACTTGATACCGGATTCTGTTCCTAACAAGCAAAGCACAAAAACATCTTTTAGAAACTACACTACTAGTAGTATGGACCTGAATAAAAATCACCTACCTCTCTTCCCATAAAAAATCCTCCATCTTGAAAATTCTATACTGTAACCGAAAAACGCGATACTGTAACACGTTCCCTACGGTGATATAGTTCTTGAATATATCTCTAGATTGTTCTAGATTAGATCATTATGATACACCATCCATGAAACTGTGTGAAATATTACAGTGTGAGTATACTTCAGCCATGATGCCCCTTTGATTGCCCACTTCACTGTATAACCCTGCTGAAGCTGCGAAACAGACCTGTCCCTCCAAAACTTGGGATAATAAATGTGTTTGTAATTCCCGCTGTCATAATAAAATAACCTTAGCTGCAACCAGTTAAGTCTTAAAGACTTACTTGGTCAAACTGCACAATGGTAATGGTATTTATAGGATTTATGAAAATTATTAGACTGGGATCACCTAGTCATGTCATTGAGGAGAAGTTCGGGGCCCAAAAAAAACATAATTATCTTTTACATAATTTTGGAGTTATTGCCCTTTGAAAAATTTCAAACTTATCTTTTGTCCGAAGCATAGCTTAAAAAGTATGGGAGGTAATAATTAATAACTTCATAGATGGGTAGAAGAAGATTTAGTAAAAAGAAGAACTTCATTCCAGCAGGTTCATTCAGGGTTAAAGTGTCAATATCAAGCAGACAGGAAATTGTGCAGTTAAAATAATTACTTTAGTATAAAAATCTTCATATTGAGCTGTCAGAAATTATGCCCTCCAGAGTAAAATGTGCAATCAATGAAAGTTCACACCTAGAAAAAATGAATCACAAAGGAAATTAAATTTTAACAGGATATATTAATTTATACCGGATTTTCAACATGATTCAGTTTTGTTTTATAGTAGGCTTCTCATAGATTAATACTGATATTCATTTTAATTTGAAATCATTATAGCAATTTAGTACTAAAGTTAAAGTGGATATAGTGAGGAATGGAAATGTGATATATCTTTTCAATTTAATGATGTAAAGAGATTATGAAGTGCAATATATTAAAAGGCAATCATATCATGTAATTCTGTTAGGAGTATCTTTAGTTATAATTTAATAATCTCAAACCATAACCAATTCCATTGCCATCTTGTACATTTTGTTTGACCATGTTTAGTTAATTTCAATACATCTGATTTCTTTATTAGAGCATTGGTCCCCCTCTCTCAAACTTTACAACTTTGCAGCCAACCTCACATTGTCAACAATGTAAATTTTAATACCATTGTCCTCAAAGCATCTATGATTCCCAGGGTCATCCTTCCAAACTTCAGATGCTGCTCCCTACACCTTCAATAAGGTTTAGCTGATGAGTGAATGGTGGATAATTCTCAAAGCATGAGTTATATTTTAAGGATATTTTGTAAGTTTTCATGAAAAAATTATAAATTTTATCAAACAAAGAATTTTCATTTTGTCTTTCACTTATAATCACAGTAGTTCATAGTCCTTAAAACTTGATTTTACTTCCTATGTTGTTAGCAATATCAAAGAGAAATATAATGATGTAATTTCTACTGAATTATTATGTGGCAATTTAATCAGAGAAAACTTGAAGCATTTAATGATGAAGGCAGATCTGAAAATTATGAAGAGTTAAACTAATATTTCTCAGAAAAAACATTGTAGCTTTGTGTATTGATTGAAAAGTTTGGTCTCCGGCCAAATTGGTCTTTGTGTCACTGCACTGAATGGTCTCTGTAGGTGTTTGATTTGAATCATCTACGCTCAGCTGCCTTATATTTGAAATGATCAAGTTTTGGTTCTTACCAAGTGAGTGTTGTTGTTTCTTTAAAATCAAAGTAAACAAATGCAATGAATAGTTAAGCTTTCATTATTAGTTTTAAGTTAAAGAAAATACTAGCTCATATATATTAATATAAATCGTGGTGAAAAAGTTGAGAAGATTAAATGCACTTTGCTTTAAAATATACATTTTGTATAATAGTAAGTCTTTGAATATATTCATGCACAGCCCATCTTTTATTTCCTGATGAGATGATATATAGCCTTGTGGTTAAGAGAAAAAAACAAAACAAACAGTTAAAAATCCCAAGCTGCTATTTATTGTATATATATGATAGTATTTTTACATAATCTATAATATTTAGAACGTTTGGTATCGCCACATGTATTAAGTTGCCTGAGATAGGCAGATGTGGGTAGTTACGGAACATTACAATTCCTCTAAGCTTTCCTGATAAAAATGCTTCAAAGAATACATTTTGCGAGTTAAGAAACTTACTATCAATAAATAAGATTGTATTTTGTGATTACAAAAAGTTTTGTAGAAGCTCATAAATATTATTGAGAAGCAGGGTTGTTTTTTTTTTTGTTAAGATGAATGTATAAAAGAAAATGAGGTATATTTTGTAGGATAACTGTGCTTTATGCTTTTATGAAGGTATTTTTGACTCTTCGGAAAGGAGGAAGCAGTATGTGAGATACTCTCCAGTTTGGAGACAAATATTGTCTTCTGTTGCAGCAGAAGATAGGAGAAGTGTTGATTCATATGTGGTGAATTCAGGATGATATACTGAATTCTCCCAATATTTTCATGAAATAATTACATATTCATGAAACTTTGATATTAAATGCTAAGTTATAGGAATTGAATATAAACAATAAGCTGAAAAATGAAAATCTTGCTTATTAGGAAATACGATTGAAATATTTTAGAAATATATAAGGAAGCATTTTTTATCTAAAAAAAAATTAAGGGAAAAAAATGGAATACCGGGAATCATTCATGTTTAGCAGTTTTTCTTCGGAGAACTGGGCTTCGGAAAGTTTTCAACGGTTTGAAAGTTTTTGCAGTCAGATGAATGCTAGTATGACAAGTTCTAAATTTATGGATTTGAAACCATTTGATATGTTTCCACAAATGGACATGATGCGACCATTCTCAGAGTCCTTCTCGGACAATCTAATGCCTTATAGTTTAATGCCTTTGGATTTATTTTGCTCATCAAGACCAAGGTGAGTAAGAATTTTGGTTCAAAATATTTCATTAATATATATTCTCATTCAATTGCCGAATTTCGTCATTTACTCCATTGCATTAATATTTGCAACACAATCTGATGTTTGGAGAACAGCAACTGTTACTTGAACACGAAAATACTTTGTTTCTAGTTTGTTTTGTGATTAATATATCTTGAGTTAACATGTATCTTTGAGTAGAGTTTCTGGCTGGCTTGGAACTGTCAATTAGCTCCTATTTGCAAGTATTTTGAAAGTTTCTAATTATTTTTTTCCTGTACAAGTTTGTTTCTTTACCTCAGGAGGTTAAGGTGTAAGATCCTGCAGTGTGCATTATAAATTTATCTTTATTAACTCCTTAAACTCTTACAAGATTCTGAACAACAGATCTTTGTTACTATAAACATTATGTTTAGTTTATACAAAATATATTTTATTTCAGTTGTGTAGGAAGCTATTAGCTTAAAACACACTCCTGAATCCATCCTTCAAACTTAACAAGTCATAAGACATAAGCAATCAGTGTTAGTTAAGTTTCTTGTTCAAGGAAACAAATTGCTTGCCCCTGACGAGTTTTGAACCTATGCCGAAAACCTTGAGGTTTGTGACTTAAGTCTGTAGCATATACTGTCACTGTATTATATATAGTGTTAACTCCACAATTTTAGAAGTTTATTTGAGTCGGGTATATACTTCATAGCTTTAACAGATAATATTCTTGCAGAAGGAAAGGAATATGGAGTTGCAGTTTGTACTATACAAGTTGATTCCCAGAACTTTGTTTTTATGACTAATGAAGACAATGTAAGATGATCTAAAACCTATGTTTGATAATAAAGGAGCCATGCAGTCTGTGTGTATGTCTGTATATTTACATTATTCAGTTTACAATATTGACATTCATTATTACATTATCGACATTGTACAGGTTTTCGTTAAGCATTCACTAATTGCCAATTTCTGATACCTTCAATTAGTGCTGATGAGCGTTAGGCTGTATGTCAATATTTTTACCTGGTTGTTATGTGTTCTCACCTTTACTGTTCTTACATATTATAAATTTTAGGGGGTCTAGTCAGCTATTTTTTTCCAGAGATACCATGAATTTTGTAGATATGTATCAAATCAGAACTTCCGCAGATTTTTTTTGTTGTAATTTGGAAAAAGAGTTCTGTTGTTTTCTTGTATTGATAGCAGCATGTGATTTTGGCAATAGAATACTGGAAGGAATTGTTTCCATCTATCTCAGAATGCATCAAGATTGAATGTTAATTTGGAAAAAAAAGAAATTTGTTTTTGAAGTAATTTTTTTGTGTGTATTTGTACACTGTTTTTTTATTCCAAAAATATTTTATCTTATTTAATGATTCATTGATTATAACATTATGTTGTACTGAAATTTATTTGATGGTGAACAATATTTTCATCTTAATGAAGAAGAATCTTTCTGTGACGAGTAGTACCTTACATGTCCAAATGGCATTTTAAAAATAAAGGGAGCTAACTTTGTGATGATTTATATCTGTATATTAGAAAGTTCAAGTAAAGGGAGCTAATCCCAATAAGAGACAATGTATGTTCAGTATTTTTTGGGCAACAAATCATTAATACATGGTTACTTTCTTACTTCTCTTTGTTCCACTTTGCAATAAGCTTCCATACTATAAAAAAATATTTTAAAAAATGGGTATTTAGTGCAAACTTAAATACCTACTAGGTAAATATATTAATATTTTCCCCTATAAATCATAAAAAGACTTTTATTATTGACACTTCTGATGATTATTGCATTGCAAACTATTCTCTTTAATTCTGTACACAATTCAAAGCTTTGTGGTGAATATAATAAATTAGGGCGGTTTGTGTTTTTCAACTTGTTTTTTTTCCTGCGGCAGTTGTCTTCTATAACTTTAGCAAATTAGCAGCCATTGATACTTGAATGTGGTTTTGAAGTTACACATATTAATAGCAGGTTTTATGATTTACTTTGTAGCTGATGAGTGTTTCCATACTGCCAAGTATTTGTTACTAGATGTTTCCTGTAATTCAGGCCTCCAAGTGCTTTGATTTGATTTTTCATCGTTACATGTTTTTGATTCAAGACGTACAGGCGTAGAGAGGACCGAGAAAGTCTGCCAGTCTTTAAATTGACCACTTGTAACTTCTACAAAAACATCCCCTACTTGAGTACTACGACTATTTCATTACTTTGTCGCAAGAATATACTAACAGTAAACAGAATAATATGTAAAATTTGCAGATACACCACTATTGCTCTGATGCATCAGTCATGCACATATATAAGCCAGTCAATCATGTAAAGGGTATTTATTAATTCTTTCATACTTAGAAGGGATTTGAAGTTAAAGGGATATCAAGCGATATATATTTCACGAGAGTAAAGGGCTATGCTCCCCGAAAAAATTTCGGGGGAGCATATAGTCGCCACCTTGTCCGTCCGTCCGTCCATCCGTCCGTCCGTCTTTCCGTCCGTCCGTCCGTCCGTCCGTCCGTCCCCTTTTCTTGTCCGGGACATAACTTTGAAACAACAAGAGGTATCAACATGAAACTTTGTAGGTAGATAGATCTCATTGAGTAGGTGTGCAGTGCACAAGAACCGTAACTCTGCCTTGCCTAATTTTTGAATTATTCCCCTTTGTTTATTTTTACACTTTGAACTTTGTCCGGGACATAACTCTAAAAGTATAAGAGGTATCAACATGAAACTTTGTAGGTAGATAGATCTCATTGAGTAGAAGTGCAGTGCACAAGAACCATAACTCTGCCTTGCCTAATTTTTGAATTATCCCCCTTTGTTTATTTTACACTTTGAACTTTGTCCGGGACATTACTCTAAAAGTATAAGAGGTATCAACATGAAAACTTTGTAGGTAGATAGATCTCATTGAGTAGAAGTGCAGTGCACAAGAACCGTAACTCTGCCTTGCCTAATTTTTGAATTATCCCCTTTGTTTATTTTACACTTTGAAATTTGTCCGGGACATAACTCTAAAAGTATAAGAGGTATCAACATGAAACTTTGTAGGTAGATAGATCTCATTGAGTAGAAGTGCAGTGCACAAGAACCGTTACTCTGCCTTGCCTAATTTTTGAATTATCCCCCTTTGTTTATTTTACACTTTGAACTTTGTCCGGGACATAACTCTAAAAGTATAAGAGGTATCAACATGAAACTTTGTAGGTAGATAGATCTCATTGAGTAGGTGTGCAGTGCACAAGAACCGTAACTCTGCCTTGCCTAATTTTTGAATTATCCCCCTTTGTTTATTTTACACTTTGAACTTTGTCCGGGACATAACTCTAAAAGTATAAGAGGTATCAACATGAAACTTTGTAGGTAGATAGATCTCATTGAGTAGGTGTGCAGTGCACAAGAACCGTAACTCTGCCTTGTCTAATTTTTGAATTATCCCCCTTTGTTTATTTTACACTTTGAACTTTGTCCGGGACATAACTCTAAAAGTATAAGAGGTATCAACATGAAACTTTGTAGGTAGATAGATCTCATTGAGTAGGTGTGCAGTGAACAAGAACCTTAACTCTGCCTTGCCTAATTTTTGAATTATCCCCCTTTGTTTATTTTTACACTTTGAACTTTGTCCGGGACATATTTTCTTAATGTATAAGAGATATCAACATAAAACTTTGTAGGTAGATAGATCTCATTGAGTAAGTTTGCAGTGCACAAGAACTGTAACACTGTCTTGCCTACTTTTGTAGTTATTGCCCTTTGTTCATTTTGACACTTTGAACTTTGTCTGGGACATTACTCTAAAATTATAAGAGATATCAACATGAAACTTTGTAGATAGATAGGTCTCATTGGGTGGAAGTGCAGTGCTTAAGAATCATTACTCTGCCTTGCCTTATTTTGAAGTAATTGCCCTTTGTTTATTTTTACTTTTTGACTTTTGTCCTGGACATTACTTTAAAACTATTAGAGATATCAACATGAAACTTTGTAGGTAGCTAGATATAATTGGATAGAACTGCAACGCTTCAAGAACCTAAACAAAGCCTGGTCTAATTTTGGAGTTATTGCCCTTTGTTCATTTTTTTTATACTTTCCTGTGTCCAGAACCTTCTCGGGGAGCATCACCCGGTTCAACCGGTTCTTGTTTTTCCAAAGAGATAATAATCTGAAAGTGTTATAAAATGATATTGGATAGTACTAAGACAAGGGAGAGCAGCGAGTGTAATATGATTGATTCGGCATCATTAGATGTTGTGGCTGTGCTATGGCAGGCGTTTTTCAACTACAGGTGATTCTTAGATATTATTTGTTTATATATTTTATGTCCTTGTCTTTGAGATATAAAGGTCAGCGGTAATTGTTTGAAAGCCGGACGTAGAATTTCATTTTTTTTTTTAAACTCAAAAACTTATTCAAGTTTGTAATTATGTACGCGGTTTGGCTATTTAGAGCTATAGTGAGGATAGATGTTGTTAATCTTGAAAAATAGGGCAAAATTTTCTTCAATTTTTAAGACCAGTTACAGTGCAAATACCTTATTTTTTTGGTCATTTTAAGATAATACAGTACAGAATATCTGCAAGACAGTTTGATTTTATATAATACTGAGTTCTTTTTTAACCTCGACTTAAAGCAGTCTAGTGAGAATACAAAAGAAAACATTATACATTATTATACAAAAATTATGGGCATAAATCATCAATCATATTTTAATGTTAGGTGAATAAAGATAATTTTTGACTTTCTAGTTTATAGATTTCCCATGGATAAAGGTTATGAAGGTATACATAGAACAGCTGCTTGTTCTAGGACTGGAACCTTTATACTTATATCCTATAATCAACAATACAATACATCTGCTAATTACATCACCCTGAAAAAACCATGACTCTGATGTCGAAGTTTTTTCTTTGCTAACTACCCTTATCTACTTTTCATGAGACTTTATAGGTTTCTTTTCCACAATTTTTTGTCTTTGGGTTGATAAAGGGATAAAGGTGAT